ATTTCAGTCTCTCGATGTGCAAAACTGATAGAGACATACCCCAAGTGACTTACAGCTGTAATCGCAGCAAAAGGTGGCGCTACAAAGTATTAACTTAAGGGGGCTGAATAATTTTGCACGCCCAATTTTTCAGTTTTTTATTTGTTAAAAAAGTTTGAAATATCCAATAAATTTCGTTCCACTTCATGATTGTGTCCCACTTGTTGTTGATTCTTCACAAAAAAATACAGTTTTATATCTTTATGTTTGAAGCCTGAAATGTGGCAAAAGGTTGCAAAGTTCAAGGGGGCCGAATACTTTCGCAAGGCACTGTATGAAGGAGATGTATATCAGAGATTAACTTTTTGTTTCTTGTTACACTGCTGGTGGACATGAGTTTGACTGTGGCAAAGAAATGAATAAAACAACATGTTTTAAACATTTTAATAATCTGTACAAACTTGTCACAACACAGGGCTGGCAATAAAAGAAATGTAACAGTACAACATTGTTGGTTTGATCTGCCGGCTATGTTCTTATCTTTACTTTCTTTCTCCTTTTTTGTAAAATGCATAACAAAAAACATCGACAGTCTAAACACTGATTCATATGTAGCTCATTAAAACAAATGTACTGACCGCTGATGTACCATCAGGACAGTATATATTTCCAATTAGCAGTATCATCAGTGAGTTAGCCTTAGTGCTCCGAGGCTAGACTCTTCTGCTTTTCATCTCCTGGTCCTGATATGCAAAGCTGTGGCATCAAGTAGCATTCACGTTCGAGACTTCACAACTATGAAGAAAGAAGGAAAAAAGAAAAAGGGGATTTAGAAAACCATCATTGTGTGTCCAAATTATGTGACTTTGGTCGGCATGCAATGCTTGATGACAGTCAACTAAAGGGTCATTTTAAACACCTTTTTCATTACAGAACACAGATGTTCAAGTTGATAGATTTACTCAAACCAGTAATTCTATGGATAGGGTTTACTCCGAATTCCTAAAACTGTCAGTAATGAAATAACATTACATCAGTATTGCTTACAAGATAAAGACGGGTGTCACAGAATATAGAAAAAGTAAAATGTCATGTCCAATTGATGGCATATTAATGCAATTTTATGCAGTGCATAAATGTACACAGACTCTGCTGTGTTTTCATTCTTTGTGGGGATTTTATATTGACTTACATTCATTTCCTGTAGACTTATCCTAACCTTAACCATAACCACTACTTGCCTAACAGCTAACCCTGACCTTAAACCATGTTGCTACCCTAAAATTCAGTGATTTCCTTTCATACATAGTTTTTCATACTTAAAAGTTCATAACATTGCTATAACTTTATACTGAGTGTTAGGTTTATGACCATATTAATGTGCTATTTATAAATGAAAATTCCTTTTGCCACTTGTTTTGAGCTTGAATGAATAATAGAAATAGGAGGGAGATTTTAGGGAAGTTATTTTATTGAGAAAGGTGTTAAAAATACTTAAAAATATTTGTCTAAACCTTTACAAAAACATGTAAAGGAATATATTTTATATTTAAGACTATAACGTTCCTCCCTGGGGCCATACTAATTAAAAGCTTGTCACATACTTAACTATAGCTGGGTTGTAGTGAAAACTGAGTGATTGTGACCATATATATTTTATTGTCATATAAGTCCTACAACAGATGACAACACTGAAGTTCTTATTTGACCCACATGCTTTCACATGCTCAAATATAACTACAGATGACAGTTCCCTTCACCTCCTACAGTCTCCAGGTCACCCAATGTAATACTGCAATTTGCATTATAGTAGTTTGTGCATTTAAAGTTTAAGCAAATTGGGATTATGCAGTCTTATTTTTCTAAAATTCAGTTTTCCCCCTTAAATGGAACAAAGGCTCAATTTGAACACTGCAATCAAACAAGTTAAACAAAGCTGCTGAAAACACAAAACTCAGTCATTCAAAAAAAAAAAGCACTTCAAACCGCAAATGCATTACAAAAGCAAAACAAAGGCTGTGCCACAGCATGCATGTGTTCAACCGTACATTAAACTCTTTAGGCTATGTGATATTTTATGACACATGATTCACACTCATGTCAAATGGATGCACAGCGTAAAATGACAGGGGAATCCAGAGGAGAACTTGAAGAAGAGGCAGAAGTTAATCAAACAAGTCAGCCATCAGAACCAGAGCCCCCCCGAAGCCTGTCAGGACACTTTGCCATGCAGCACAGCAACAGATTAGTATTCAATTGGTTTGTGAAGGAAACAACCCAGATGCCCACCCTGGTGACACAGTTACTTACTGAGGTCAAACCCCTCAGCTCTGAGTCAGACCACAGTAGACAGGCCTACTGCTATGTGAGAGGTCTTGCTCTGGTAAAAAACAAAAAAAAAAAAACACAGCAACAAGCAGTGAATGAAACCAAAGCTGCAGCTCTTCTTTTCCATTTGCCTTCAAGTCAGGAGCCTGAAATTTAAAAATACACTTGATCATTTAAATAATGAGTTTCTCTACATTGGTTATAATGTGTTAGCCAGTTCCTCGTATAGATAAATGTCATCTACATGTAAAGACATTTGTAAACGACAGTTTTCCACATTATTGTTAAATAAATAAACACGATGATTATGACAGCTCTGACTGATCTAAGGCTTAATCAGTAGGTGACTGATTGTATCAAAATTATATGATATGCTCCTGGCTTTAGGCTTTAATAGACACATAATCAACATTGCATGTGAAAGTGCTAAAACTATTCTATCACTGTTCTTTCTAAAGAGCTGTTTCTTTGTGTATGAAAGCAAATACAAAAAGTACATCCAGAAAGCAGGACCACTTTAAAAATGATAAGATCTTAGACTTTATTTACATGTTTCTGCATCAACGCGTTTTCTTCACAGCTTGAAAAAGTAACACAATAACATTTTACGTATTGCTTCCAGGGCATCCAGATGTACAAATTCTTATAAACAGAATAAACAAGTGTGATGAATATAAATACTTAAAATGCACATATGTAAACAAAATATACAATGTGTCATACAAACAACCTCTCTAAAACAGTTTCAACAAATACAGAACATTAAGAAGTAGGATGAACTGAAGGAGTGCTGTAACAACCTGCATTCATTTGAGCTTGTGTGCCTAACAAACCGGCAAATGAGTGTAGGAAATTGTGGGCTTTATTGTCCATGTTAATAGATGAGCTTAAAGAGACTCACAGGATCAGGGAGAAAGACATGTCAGGCTTTTTATAAAATGCTAGATGTGAACAATACAGCAGGTGCAATGAAAAAGTGAAGGCACAAACATAATGACAATACATTACATTTCTTTTGATATAAAATTAGACAAAATTTAAAAACAATAAGAACCAATGAACAGTGTAAAAAGCACTTAATGTGATTAACAGTTAATGTTGTTTGACAGTCCGTGAAAGAACACGAGTATAAAAAAAGCGTTTTAGAATGACATATTCACAACTCTGTACAAACATAGGCTTAAGATTCCGTGAAACACAGAGAGGGTGAGAGAAAGAGAGACCAAATATAAATAGGTGTCACCTCCAAATATAAATAGGTGTCACCTCCAAATATAAATAGGTGTCACCGCAGCCAGGCCATAATTCTCAAAGTACATGAAACTCATGAAACAATGTGATAGTACTGCACAAAATAAAATAATATACTGTAAATACGAAATGAATCAAACACTCACTGCTGTGATGAACTTGGTGCCTTGAGATTGGAGGTCTTCATCTTTCTGGAATAGCGACGGTGTTGAGGAGGTGAGTGTGGAGGGGCAAAGGAAGGAGGAGGGCTCGCTGCTGCTGTTGTTGCTGCTGTAGGAGTCCATGATGATGCTGGAGTGCCCAGGTATAGTGAGGGTACTCAGCCCTGTTACACTGTCACTGGAGGTGCACTGGGAAGATGTCTCTGAGCTCTCAGTGACTGTCAAACAACACAGGGACAAAGACACTCTATTACTTTATTACTGGATCGAGCAAGAAGTCCATACATTTCCTATTCACGCAAGAATTCAAGATGTTCAAATAAATCAGAGGCAATGACCTGACCAACTTAACAAGATGGTGTCCTTTTGATGGTCTAAACAAGGATTTAGGTACCTAGGAATAATTCTTACGCCACAATCTACAAAGCTCTATGAGGCCAATTATCATAGGTTAATGAAACAGCTAAGGAATGATTTTGGTTCGATGCGCCCCCTGTCTCTGCTGGGCAAAATGGAAAGTATAAGAATGAATCTGCTTCCACGTCTCCTTTTTTTTGTTTCAGTCCTTGCCCATACGAGTCCCCCATTTCAACTTTTACTATGTTGAATTGACTGATCTCCCAATTTATCTGGCAACATAAGAGGCCCCGAATAAAAATACAAACACTTTATATGCTCAAAAACAAGGGCGGCCTAGCTCTACCGAACCTGAAATTCTACTATTGGGCAGCTCGATTGGCTGCAATTGTGGCCTGGATTGGGGGAGATGAGGAAGTAGGATGGACTCAAATAGAACAGGGTGAAACTAAAGGTGTACGCTTACTCACTCTCCCCTTTATCGATTTAAAATGTATTAACAAAATGAAAATCGGAAATGACTGGACAAAACACACTTTGAAGGCTTGGGTAGAAGTTAAAAAAATGCTAAAAGACACTGGATCAGTCTCTCGAGCCATGCCGATAGTGGGCAATACAGATTTTCCACCCTCCACTTGGGATCATGGCTTTAGGAGATGGGCCATGAAGGGCCTGATCACAATTAATCAACTGTTTGAGGGAACAGATTTGAAGTCCTTTTCACAACTCCAAGAACAATTCGACCTGCCATCAAATGAACTTTATAGGTATTTCCAAATTAGACAGCATGCCACGAATCACAATGAGAAAGAAAGAATTAGTAGAAAACCAAATAATGTAGAACAATATTTCATTACAATTGCAGAACATAACCATTCAACAACAAAAATAGTTTCCAGTCTTTACAGAAGACCTTCCTCTCACACTACTCATGACACCTTGAATATATAGGAGAAATGGGAGCTAGAGTTAAACACTATAACAGAAGACAAACTATGGGAAAACACGTGTAAAGGCATCAATAGTCAGCAATGGAAAGAATTTCATTGGAAAATCAAAATCAGATATTTCCATACTCCTCTTGTCATCTCTAATTTTATCAAAGACCCTTCAGCAGCACTATGCACATTTATTATTTTATTTTTATTATTTTGTGGTATTTTTATCACTATACTTTTTTTTTAAATGTACATTCGTATTTGCTTCATTTTACATACCACCGTATTGATCTTGTCTCAGACTGTTCTGTTTGTAATGACAAAACTCAAAATAAAAAGTAAAAAAAAAAAAAAAAAGAATTCAAGATGTTCAGTCAGTGTGGGAACAGTCACCAAGTCCGCCATAAATAAAGCTCCTTTATGTAGGATTTGAACTTCGGCAACTTCTAGTGACACCAGCAATAAAGACACTGTGACTGACAGTAATCCTGGCAAAATCCTAGACATTAAGACTTTAAAGCTCCATATATTTTGCTTCAAATAATCAATCATCAAAATAAACAGAGATTATAGGTTGTACAACAGCAAAAACAGCCACTCACTCATGGAGGGCCGGCTCCCAGCGTCCTGCTCCAGTTCGTCTTCCTCTATGCAGTTGTAGGGCCACTGGGCAAGAGAGGGAATGTTGGGATGTGTGTGTAGGTGAGAGGGTGAGGTGTAGAAATGGAGATTGAGTGAGCCCAGCAGAGAGGAGGATGACTGGCTGCTGGACGATGAGGTGCTGCTGTTGGAGATGGTGGAGTGAGGTCTCTTGACTGATGTGACATGTTCAAATGAGGGCACGGCGATGGAAGCTCTCGTCCTAGACTCTGGGCAGAAAGAGAAACATGATGAACTGTGAGAACGTGAGAGGGAGAGAGAAAAGTGACAGGAATATAGCGGGTTCTTCATTCAATCATTTTTACAGCATCTCTGGCAATGCAAGGTAAATATAATGTAAAATAAATTTGTGTGGCTCTGTGGCTTAGATTATATCTGGGGTGTTTACATCACAAAATCTGTTTGATTGTGAGGTAAACAAATTGCTTATACCTGTACATGTATGCTGGAGTAGGAGGATCAGAGAAAAGGGAATGAAGAATAAACAGGTTTAAAATACAAGAGGTGTACAAGGACAGCTCACCTGACCCCTTCATGATGTAGTCAATGGCTCTGTCGCTGATAGCTGCATCACTAGGCTTGATGTCCATGAAAGGTTTGCTTCCAATCCCCATAGATACCATCTCCTGCATACGCAACTCTGGAATCCAAAAAACATGAATATCCTTAAAGGCAAAAAAAAAGTGTGTTACCTGGGTAAACAGGGATCTAGATGTCACTTTGTGGCCTTTAAAGGCCTTCAAATCCGACATAGTAACACACCTCTGTTTCTGAGCGCCTGCCTCCACAGGATCTTGCCGATAATGGCTGTCCACACAGTCTTGACCTCTGCAGAGCTGGCTTGAAGTATGAATGTGTCCTGTGACTTCCTCCGACGGAACCAAATCTCAAAGCGCAGGCCACTGTCCCCAACATTTTCAGTCATACCGATCTCTGCCGTCTAAATACAAAAGAAATAATAAGAAATTGCCATAATTATACAAGCAGTATGAAAACTGACAAAAAGTCCTTTTCAAACAATACACTCTTACCTTGAAAGACTGTTTATAGATGTAAATATCATATCCTCCTTCTATCTTCTTGGTTTTGCTGAAGAGGATGAGATCTTCAAACAAGAAGACGTGGCGGAGGTACTTCCTCCGTCCACACCACACTATGAACTCATCCTGGCAGCGAAGCTGACCCTGCTCTTTCAGGTTCACCTGGAGAGGAAACATGACTGTTCACATGCGTCAGAGAAAACAATACAACTCCTGGTGGGATTCTGACCTCACTCTGCTGTATACATGACAAGATGACCTCCATTACAAAAATAGATGACATAACCTCTGTCTTACCTCTGCCTTACAGTAATGTTAAGTAGCATTTGGCTAGCTAGCATGCTGACATTAAAATGTTTATCACAGTACACAGCTCTGTGCACACGTATTACTACTTACATCACAGTCCCGAATGGCATCCATAGCTAGCAGGTCGTTGCCATGGCGAAGCTGAAACTTGACCATCTCCTCTGCAGTGCGGAGGTCACTCAGCTCCTGCTCCTGGGACTGACTGCACTCCTTGATCAGGTCCTTTAGCAACAGCGCATATTTACTCATCCTCTGAATGGGCTTCAACAAGTAGGACGCCAGGTCCATTTTGTCCCCCAGCTCTACTTGCTTATTCTGGAGAGACAGTGAAGATCAGTGCTGTAGTGTTATTGCTAATCTGCAAGTCTTTCCAATATGGGACTACTGATGCAAATGCCAAAGACCTGGTGAAATAAACTGCAAGTCAAATCTGTTTTGTACTCTGTTTATACAGCAGCCAGTAGTCATTTGTTGGTTCAAAGCACCTGTATTTGACATTTATTCAATATTAGTATCACATATAAGGAGTTTAAAATCAAATACATCAGCTGATATTCATTTTTCAATATTAATAGAACATAAACAAACACGTTTATTAAAATGTATTTTTGAAATATAAACCTTTCAGTGCACTAAGGTGAAAGCAGGTATAATTATTCCTAAATTAACTCAGTTATCTCTGTTCAAATCCTTATACACAAAACAGGATTATGATCTGCCCAACCATCTCCATAATAACTGAACATCTGCTAAAAAAAAGCTGTGAGATTTATTTTGTTTTTGGGTCAAACTCAGATATAATTTTTTCTATTCCCGTCCTTTTATTTCCTTTTGTTTATTGTATATCAGTTTACACTGATCAGCCACAACATTATGACCACCTTCCTAACACCATGGACACAAGAGTCAGTGCGGCAGTCGGTCGGGACTTGTGTCACTCTGCAGCTCACTGAGCATCTTGTGTGAATCAATTTGCTTCCATAGATCTACTGCCAGGAAGAGCACAGATGTGTCAACCATCCAGTGAAAAACACGTAAAAGAAGCGAAAACTATGGTCATGAGCAAAAGTTAGAGATAACATTTAGACCAATTCAGCAGCCTCTCCACTCTGGGTGTGACATCACCACTGTAGCTGCTGAATGTTTCTCTTCATAGAGACCAATGTACAGTGTTTCTCATTTTCAACCATTTTAACAAAGATTCAAACAAAGTAGAATCTTTTTAAAAGGACAAATGAAATTTAAACTTCAATCTACAGTAGATCAACCTCATCATCAGTGACCATCCATGACCCTGTCACTGGTTCACTGTTTGTCCTTAGACACTGTTGGTAGGTACTGACCACTGCAGACCAAGAACACCCACCAAGACCTGCAGTGTGGGAGATGCTCTGACCCAGTCATCTCACCTTCACAGTTTGGCCCTTGTCAAAGTCACTCAGATCTTTACACTTGCCCATTTTTCCTGCTTCCAACACATCAACTTTGAGGACTGAATGTTCACTTGCTGCCTAATATACCCCACACACTGACAGGTACCACTGTAACAGATAGTCAGTGTTATTCACTTCACCTACCAGTGGTCATAATGTTATGCCTGATCAATGATCTGTGACATTCTAAAACTGTCAGTATACTGTATACAGTTAGAGGTCAGTGTATTAGTCATATTGTGATCATTTTAATGTTGCACTACTAAAACGCTGTTTCTGAGCCTGGTATTGTCATACCACAGTGACGATGACCCTGAGACCAGTCATTGTGGTAACAGTGTAACCAGAGCCAGAGATTCCAGACACACCTTAAAGAATTCGTTCCCATGGCTGCTGAGCAGAGAGTCGGACTGGGGCTTATTCTTGCTGTATAGAGCATACATTCCAAACTGATCCTCCTGCATACAAGATCAACAAGTTACAACACTGACCACAGTAAAAAAGCCTGCTGACATTTCAGTAAGCTGTGATTCAACTTCCAAGAAACAGTACATGTACTGTAACTAGATGGGTTCCACCATCAGTTCCACTCATTATGTTGCTGACAGCTGACTTACATATGTGGGTACACAAGCTATAACAGTATGACAACGAACCCATAACACTACACTGGAAACAATGCATTTTTTGAAAAATAAAAAACTACACATATGCTGTTTATAACCTGTCAATATGCACATTCAAACCACTTTGTGCAACTGTATGGACTCACGTGTCTGAGAAAACAACTACTGATGGAGAGTGGGGAGTGGGCGCACGACTCCAACTCCTTCAAGAAGTACTGACTGTGGAAGTCCCACAGTTTCTCCATGTTCCCAAAAATGATGCTGCGTTTCCCCCGCAGGTCCTGAGGCAAGTCCAGGCGCTCCATCTCAGGGAAGTAGTGCTCGATGATGTAGCTGAGAGAGCGAACGTACTCCCTCTCTGTGGAGATCATCTCATCCATGATGTGCTGTACTTTACTGGTGAACAGAAAGACATCACAGGATGTAAGACTAAGAATACTGGTGCTAATTACAAAATATTGGTATAATAATTAATGTAACATAATCAAGAAAAAAGTTAAAAACGATAATGTTCCATGGTGGTGGCACTCTTTAATTTGAGCGTTTGGTGTTTTTGGTATTTTTATACCACAAACACGTAAATGAATATCTCAGCTTAGGTTTTGTGTCTGGGGTTCTTCTGCTCACCTGCTCTGTTTCTTGCCATCTCCGTCACTGTGTCTGTTGTGGATCCTGGAGGGTGTGGACATGCTGCGGCTGCGTCCCAACGCAGGGCTCATCACATCAGGCCTCTGCAGCTTCTTCTCTGCGGACACCTCCAAACCCTTGATGTACACACCTGTGTAGGAGTGAATATGACTGACGTCTAAGTGACCGCTCTCTTTTGGAGTCAGCTCATAGCTCATGGTCTTCTTCATGATCTTTTTCATCGGCTGGGAGCCTCTCCGGAGTAGACGGGCTCAGAATGGCAGGAAATGGTCGAGTCGATGGTGCAGTCGCTGTCTGTGTCGTCAAACATGGAAGGACTGTGCCTCAGTTTGCTGTCACACTCAGGTGAAGTGAAGTGTGAAAAGCAGGAGACTGACCTGGAGGGGCTTTTGGAGAAAGGCCCAGTAGAATGAGACTTAATGTCCTCAAAAGTCAAAGATGTAATCGCCCCTGGTAAAAGCACACAAGCACTGGCTCCATGTTTCTCTGCTGAGGCAACCTGACTTCCTACAGTCTTTAAAGAAGCTGCTGTATCAACAGCTGTGGGGTTTGTTGATACCATCATGGCTCTGGCCAAAGTCTCTTCCAACTGCTGTTTGGTCTTCTGACATTTGTGCCACACTGCGTTCCACTGCTGCAGCTGCTGAGGACTCTCCAGCGAGAGCACCATGTCATTGAGGGTGGTGAAGTTGTCCATAGAGAATTTTGATGCCTCGGTGTAGTAACCCTGGAGGATTTGCACCACAGATGGTGAAAGTTTAACACCTGTACCATCCATACTCAGCTGATGGAAATAATCCTGACAGTGGTCCATCCAAAGGTTTGCCTACAGATGTGAAACAGTGGTTTAAATGCTTTATGTTATAGTGTATCTCACAATATAGTTAAATACAGCTAGTTCCTATTACTAGATGGCATCCAAATCCATCTTTCAGGATTCTATTTTAAGATGATTTCCATGATAAGCATTGTAAAGCACTCTCAACAACAGTTTGAAATACTTACCGAGTCATAAAACTCATACAGGTTGTTTAGGATGTCTAACTGGCCTTTCCTCTGCCCTACTCTGCTTAGGATGGAGCCCAGGTGCTGCTTAAAGTCAAGCAGGACAGAGTCTGGAAGCAACTCTGGAGACGTTTTCACAAGCTGCAGGCCGTGCCTCTGCTGGTGCTGTCAGGATAAAGGCAAGACCCATTTAGCACTGACAGTCATCTGAAAGTTAGACATAAAAGCTGATCTTCAAGCAGTAAGTGAAATTTTAAATTGTGAAATGTTTTGTGGTGCTATTTACCACCGACTCCTCTAGAAATTGGTCCAACCTCTCTTTCATCTCCTTAATTTTGGCACCGGACAGATTTATCGATTCCAGAGGTGCAAGCTGCTTCTCTCCCTCTACACTGAACCACAGTTTGATCTGAAAAGAGAGAGGGTTGTGGAGGAATTTAGTAAGCAAAGCAAAGGAAACTTTATTCATATAGCACCTTTCTAAACAACTGTTACAAAGTGCTGCACAGAGGGTATAAAGAGCTAAAAGAATTGAAACAGTCATATAAAATAAACCAAAAAAGAATTAAAATATACACAAAAACATAATTAAAGAAAAAGTCTGAACACTAATCAGACAGCCTCAGACTGCACCAGTATCAAATGCCTGTGTGAAAAAATATATTTTGAGGAAGACATGAAATGAAGCCAGGTTAAAGGCAGCTCTAATTTCATGTGGTAGACTGTTCCAGAGTCTGGGAGCTGCCACTACAAAAGCTCTTTCATCCCAGGGTTTAATCTGGATCGAGGTACATCCAGTAGAAACTGACTGGATGACCTAAGGGATCTACTTGGGGTGTGGATGTGCAGAACCTCTGATATATACACAGGCACAAGGCTATGCAAGGCTTAAAAAACAAATAATAATTTAAAAACAATCGTTCATGTTTATGAGTGCCCATAAGCAGCATTTTGTACTAACTGAAGCCTGGACAATGAAACCTGAACCACCCTGAAAAAGAAGGCACTGCAATAGTCGGTTCTTTAGCAGATGAAAACACAAATTGCTTTTTCAAAGTCATTAAAGGAAAGAAATTAGTAGTAGTAGTGAATTAATAATGAGAGTAGAGAATAAAAGCTGCGTAGCGAAAACCTGCAGCACAGGTGACAGTGTCTGTAGAGAAATCACCTGCTGGGTTTGCTCCTCAAACTTGCACACCTCCAGCATGCTCTCCAACTGTAGCTGAGACTTGTTGGACAGGATCACAAGTTTATGAACCTCTTCATCTACTTGGTTGTACAGTGCATTCAACATGTCAACAGCATCCCTGTATGAACAAAAAAAGCCAAAAAGGTTATGATTTTTCTACCTTTATAGGTACTGCATATTATGATGACTGGTTTAGAGTCAGCCCACTCTTCATGCAGTACCTGTAGTTTTCATTTTCACAGGCCTCTTCCTTCCTGATGCGGGCGAGGACAGTTCCCCCCTCTAGACGCAGTCTGTTCAGACAGGTGTCAGCTAACACGCACTTCATGAGATGCCTCTGCTGTTCCAGTACCTCAGACACTTCCTGAACCAAAAATGAGACAGATAAATAAATGAAATGCATTAATACAATGAATGAAAATACAAATTAAGTGAAATATTTACTTTATTTTAAACCAAACCCTGTTGAGGTTATAGACCTCAACAGCACAAAGAAAGCTGACCATAAAACAAACTCCTCAACTGTTTACTCCTACTAAGAGGAAAGAAGCCAGTAGGCAGGTATTGTGTGTCAGTGGAGACACATAAATCAGAAGGCCAGACTGCCTGCAGGGGTCGAGTCTAACCTTAGAGGTCTTCAGGTTGTCACTGTAGCTTAGTGTGCTGATAGACTCCTGAAGGAAGGCGATGGCTGCACTACAGCTGCTGGCAAATGGCTCAATTTTCTGCAAGAGAAAGAGGGAGAAAGACATACAGCAGCCTGAAATGCAAGGTTTGAAAGTCATATTTCCATATCTCAAACTGATCATGTTTATAATGACGCAAAGTGGCCATTTCTCATAGCAATACATATCTTTGGCAACACAGTGTTTCTAAAATCCTAAACTGAAAAGGCAGTTTGTCAGAAGGTATCCTGACCTTTACCAGGCTCTTAAGTAAGTTTACAACTGCAGTATGTTTATGATGTAGTCCCTCCACCTCCATCATACCCACTTGTCTAAAGTGGATCCAGTGGCTGTGGTCATAATGGAAGGTGCCCTCCAGGTCACGTGTAAGCTGGGTTTGGTCGATGTGCTTCTGCAAGGCCTTTAGAGATGACAGTGTCTCAGTCTGTTGTCAGTGTGTCTCCTGTCATGCTCCAAAGCTGACCTTAAGGTCACAAAGGTCAGTTCCTGCTTGCTTCCACATTCTGCCATCATTATCAAATCTTAGTCCAGTAGCAAGTAGACTCTGATTCAACAACATGAATATTTCACTTTATTTGAAATACCTCATATGCATCTGATATGTTACCTGCACATTGATGTCTTTCTCAGGTTTGGCTGCTGCCTCTTTGTCCACTAGGAAGAGAACTGAGTAAAGGGCATTTGGTACTAAAGCCTGAAAAACATTCACATGCCATTTTTTATAGCAACAGGATAATATATGAATACATAATACATGAACAGCTAAATGTAAAATGGGTATTTAAAGTGAGTTCTAATGTATGTGTTGTGGTTTACAGAACTATCAGCCTTTCACACTGTAAGTGAGCAACTCCTCATCAGAACATGATAATACATCTGCTGGCTGCAGCCGCCCCGCTCGGCACGACTGGCTAAAAACAGACATGTACGCACAGGCTTCTGCACAAGAGCCCGGAGATCAGCCTTTTACAAAAAAATGCCTTAGAAATGCAGTTGTTACAACTTTAAGTGGTGCCCTTTTTTAAAAACCAAACCTTGTCGCAGACTTTCAGGCACAATAATAGGAAGTGTGTGAGGACTGCCATGGTGTAATAATTCTGTAAGCAACAGCATTATAGCTCAGAAGACAACAAAAATTTTGTGGGGCCTAAAACCTCTGTCGGTGTGTTGGCGGGCAATTATGTACTTTCCAGTGTGAGCTCACCTGCAGTTCAGACAGAGATGACAACAGAGCTGGAACAGGTTGCTGCCTCCTGCTGTCTATTACAACAGTTAGGCCTTGAACACGCCTTTCTTTCCTGAAACCAAAGTACTGAAGTTGGTGTCAAATGCCTGACTGCATGCAGTGCCATATTTTGACAGGTGACATCTGACTGACATCTTTTCATTCTCAAGACTCCTGATAATTCCCCATATTAAATTATGTCTATAAGCTCTAAAACAACATCTGCAGTGTTAGGAAATGTTAGTAAAATGTAAAAAATGATTACTAAATTCTGAGTGGGACAGTAGTTGTATTCAGCTAGGGAGCTAAACATAATAAAGCCCAAGTTTGTATGACTTACTGCATTATTGAGTAGCAGTAGCCCAGTAAACCTGTGAGGTCATTGACTGTCCACCTCTCACTGGCCCACACCTGAGCTCTCGTGCACACCTGCAGTACTGCCCTCCCACAGCGATCTCTGTTTCCTGGAGGAGAGAAAGCCAGCAGGGGGTCAATACTGAACACTCACACATATCTACTCTCACTTTATACAAAAAGAATGCCACTGTTTAAACTTTACCGTGCAATACCAATAGTGCTGTCTAACTTGGACATGAAATTAGTGGGAACTTAGGCCAAACAAGCACTTAAAAGCTTCTAAAATTAAGGTAGGGGCAACATTCAGAACATCCTTATTCACATATCAAACACACCAAAGTATTAACAAGAAATAAAACCTTGAGGAGAATCTTCAGTAAGACCTGCTGCGATGTTCCAACAGCAGAAAAGCCCATTTAGACACATGGGATATAATGTAATGGACATACAAATTTAATGACTGGGGATTCTAACATGTAGGTGGTACCTATAAAACAAGCTGATTTGTAAAAATGAAAGTAACTACCTGGCAAGATCACAGCCCCTGATGTGAGCAGCTCCTGATTGACCTCTGACACCAGCTTGGGGAGAGCTGAGTAACTCTCAGAGAAAGAGCTTGATACTGAATTGAGCCTAATGGCGGTCCCATTGGCAGCTTTAGGACTGTGTGACTCTTCTACACTATACCCGCGCCGCCTGCTCTCACTGCTGATGTCATCCCGTGCTCCTATGGAGATAATTGTTAATAGTGAGCATTAAGTGATATTTACTGAGCAGCAACCGGACAAAAATACAGTATAATTAGTAGAACTTAGAAGCTTGGTTTCACCTAAGTGCTTTCTTATAGAACCACAATACCTCATGAAATAAGTGTTTATTAGTGGTGAGACAGGTGTGCTTTAGTGGTAGCTTCACCCTGACTCGTGACGGAGACCAGGTGTTTAGTCAGCTTGAGTCATACACTCCCACACCGTCGCCTCCTCCTATTCTGTCCTCCATACCTAGAGGCTCTGTTTCTGGCAATGGTTCAGTTCACGAACTTAGTTCTACTGAGCAGCAAACAAGCGTGCAAATCTTCATACAACGTACAGTATCTGTGTGTACCCTACTGGATATGTTGAGAATAATCATTTCAGTTGTTTTTCAATCTCTTTAATGTGATGTTTTGTTGCTTTTCTGTGTCATGCATGGCATGTACATGGGCCGGGTGCGCCCCATGTTTATGAAGCAACAGGATCTGGTCTACTCATAGGCCCCTTAGTTGCGGCTTTTTTGTTGGGGTTTCCGTGCAAAAAGTCTCCCTCATCAGCTCCTTCTGCTACTGTTATCACAGACGTGACTTACATACTGATTGGTAATTTTATCAGATTAGTTTTACTTACATTTAGAAATGACTGAATATGCCATATGTCTCCTATCTTTGTCACAGAGTATGAACTGGGCAAAGACAAAGGTTGGTGGTAACATGTTATGACACCATGAAAAAGCCATTTAAAAGAGAGAATAACACAATCATAGTCCGGGCCCTTTCATTTCTGCAAACATCAGCCATGAAAGTATAAAACATAACATAAAACCTTGATAGGTGCTCGCTCAACCTACTCTGTGACTGAGCATCTGTGTCTGATGGACACCTATTGTGTGTTGCCGCCCTTGTGCACTGTCCTGCTCTCTTCTGTGACCCTCCCAGCTCAGCCTCTATTGTCTTCAAACAGTGCATTTCCTGCGTGACTGTGTGGCCAGGCTGGCCTTCTGGAGTAAAGCCTCCCTAGTACCATCCCACACTTGTTTTGTCTCGGCTCTGCTGGATGCATTTTAAAGCTATGAAAGGGGTTAAATCTGCACTGGTTGCCGCTTTGACGTATTGATCAAATAAGGATGTGTTTTGATATTGCAGAGTTAGCAATGAGCAATTCAACCCTTCTGAAGCATTTTTTTCAGAGCGGTATGAGTCACTGCAAGTTAGGTCTCGTGTTCCTGCAGTGAATGGACTCTCCAAAGACACAGGCACAGTTTGAAAGGTTTTTTTTTTGTGGATCCAATGGGCTGATTGGTTCACAAAGGAAACTTTTGTAATTGAGGCAACCCATTTGGGATCAGTGCTACCCCCAGCCCCAGTAACACCGTAGGGTCATTTCATTGTGGTATGCTGGGGTCCCTGTGGTTGGTTTACAGGGTTTACAGGATCCTTTGTTGCTTTTGAAACATCGTTGTGGGAAACCTGCTTTGCAACGGCTGAAATACAATCCCCTCTAAGTTCATCTCAGCAACAGTAAAGTGATTCAGCGACTGTATTTTTTCCTTAGTGGTGGTGTAGTTTACTCTTTAAGAATTTTTTTTAAATAAACAAATGTGTGATGTATTATTTTAAATTAATCAGGCCACACAGCTTTAACTATGGCCTGGCATTGTCTAGGGTTAGGATTCATAGACTGAAATAAACTCATATTTCACCTCAAATTTTAATTCACGGAAGAAACTGTTTTCCAAAAATAGCATGATTCCCTAAGTACTCTCACAATGCTGCTTTCCTGAGCTACCCAGTATAAACCAACAGAAAACAAACCAGACTGATAGTGGTAACAAAAACACAGGGTTGTGGGTAAAGTTTGGTTTCCAGGGTAGGGTCACACCTGTCCCCTGAACATGCCAAAGAATACACTGTGTGGGTTTTGAAAAGCAATCTGTCTCCAATGGTAACATCAATGCTTCAGAGTCATGAGCTGTCTCAACTCAGGCTCCTTTGCCAGCCACTTGATGAACTGTTGTAACCAGTCCTGCTGCAGGGCATAATTACACAACCCTGCCATAATCACCATTATCTAGCTGAGTGAAAGTTGGCCTTCACACCCTCAGGATGTATTATTTAACATGCAAATGATGAGGCCAGGCACTGAAGATTCAGTCATGTCTGGAGAAAGGTAGATTTCTCAGTACTGAATATCACAGTGCTCACTGTAATATAATTAACAGCAACTTAAGTGTGATTTTTGTACACTGTAGCTGCAACAGGGCTGAACATCAGTGCAGCATCACATACCTGACTCCTCTTTGCTGCTTCTCCTCTCAGAGGCAGAAGAAGCCGCCTCTACATCGAGCCTCCCAAAATGAAGGGCATAGCCATTCATTAGTTTTTTAGTTGAGATGCTACCTGAGCCTCCTGAGGAGGATCGTTCCCGGTGGCCTTTAACCTGGGCTCCCTTGTTAGTCCTCTCCAGTGACTTTGAGCGCTGTTCTGCACGTCTTTCTGCGCTCCGTAACCCTCTCTGTAAGTAAAGTAAAGGTGTGCTGGGCCGGGCGTCATCGCTACTGAGCCAGCCCCGGTTTCCCAACCTCTGAGATAAGCGTTCCCTGGAAGCGGTCCGGGTGTCAGGGCTGCTGCCTGGTGTCACTGTTCTCTCTCTTAGGCGAGCACTGTGGTCTGGACTTTCCTCCAAGATGGACTCAGAGCTGGACCCAAAGTTCATGGGGTTTTGCAGAGCCTCCATGTAAGATTTCCTGAAAAGCCTCCTGCTCTCAAAGGCCACGGAGTCTTTAGGGATGCGACGCTGAGGGCCTGGATTACTGAGGTCTGTACTAAAGGAGAGCATCTTGGACCCTTGCCCTCTTTCTCTACCACTACTGTCCTCACCTCCCAGTCCAATCCCACACTCTTCAGCGGGTCTTTCAATCTTAATGACAGCGGTAGCAGTGTCTGCTGCACTGATGCTATTGCTCTCACTGCTGGGGTCCATATGGTTTCTGCTGTCTGCTGGTGAGGTGGGTTCAGAGAAGATGGAGTCAGCTCCCTGGGAGTGCAGGGACTCTCTGGAACTGCGGTGACTATCTAGGGTCCCTGTGGATCCATTGGTACTGCAGGTGCTGAGATGGCCATGAAAGCCACTTCTGCTGCAGTGTGGTTCCATAATGGCGTCCGACGTGCTGCTGACAAACAGTGGGTTGACCACGTTCTTCCACAATGTCCTGTACACAGCCGTGCCGGTGGTGAGCAGACAGTTCTGTAATGGCTGTAGGTTCCGGTCACGCGTTACATTCTGCAAGAACTCAGCTGTGAAGATGCTGCCATACATGCTCTCCGCGATGGGGATTTCTGCAATGGCCTTCCCACTGGCCGACAAACATTTTATCACCAGCTTGGCAGTCTTGTGGCCTAAAGGGACGATCTGTAGGTAGAAGTCTCCTTGCTTTAGTCGCACTTTGTGCAGGGGGGCAAGCTGCAGGATGACTTTCTCGTGGATACAAAGAGGCCACCCCTCATGATAGAACAGCAGTCCTCTGAACCTCACCTGAAAAAAACAGACATATAAAATCAACACCCACTTTCATAAGATATTATCATCATCTGTGTGTCTTTGCTAAACTGTGCTATGACGTGCATCATTTCAACATGACATCTGCAAAGCAAACACACGTTTAACTTGAACAAGGCAAGATGTTTTCATGGGGCACACTGGATGAATCACTGTAAGTATTCAAATAAAGGGAAGAGCCTGTCTGATCAGGCCTGGTTTCGCAGCAACCGCAACACAAATCTTCCTCTAACAGCATAAAAAAACAGATCCTAAGGGGAAGCAAAGACACGGTGCTCAAGGGCTGTTTTTTTTTCCACCCAGTCCTATGAATGTCAAGGCAAAGACTTGAATTTGACTTGATCAGTGATCACCTTCCAGTGAAGCTTCTCATGTTGCCTGTGATACAAAGACTCTCATGCACAGCAGGCTGTTCTCAGGGGCTAGGCTTAGGTGAAACTTTTGCTCTACTGCTATAATCACCAAAGAGATGAATACACAGGAATAACGTTTCAGTGCTTTGGTCACACAGCCCTCACCCCACGCAATCAAAGCTTGTGAGAGAGAATACTGAGTTTCACTTTGGACCCAAGAGTCCATAGCAGCCTCTCAAGCAGACCACAGTTTGCCTCTGTTTCTTTATTCAGAAGAGGATGGCTTCTTTTCAGATTGTTTTGGAACAATAATCAGCTCTGTCTTGGTTCCTTCCCACTCAGCAATGATATTCACACTCAGCAGCACTGTTCTCACATTCTTTTGTCACAAACATCTGGTCTTATCACTTCAGTTGTTTATCTTTCAAGATGTGTATATTCCAGTGTTTAGGAATGCATGAGTGAACATGGCCTGATACTGTGGTGCTTTTACTGTATTTTATCCTCATCCTGCTTTCACTGTCTCCTCTTTTTTCCCATACAGATAAAAGCTAAAATGAGATCAGATATCTCCAGCAAACCTCAGCTGTCACGTCAGCGTTATAAAACTACTCACACAGGTTTCTTGTTGGATGATCTGCAGGATCCTCTTGGCAGGAAGCAAGAAGTCAATGAAGCAGCGAAGGCCGTCTCCACGGTACTGCCGCTCCACCACACTGAAGAGCTGCCACAGGACGGTGGCAGCAGTGGCAGTGAAGGGGCGGTACAGGGCTGACAAGATGCTCTGGATACAGTTGTCCAAAGACTCAGCGTCCTGAGGGGGGAGGAAATGATGATTTAGGATGGACATAGTAAATAGTGTTTTTCATGTTCACAGCAATGCTCAATATACAGTATAGTGTAGCAAAACATTTGGAAATGTGAGTCTAGACCAGTATTCTCTAAATGTTTTTGGCTTGGGAAAAGAGAGAGCGTGAGAGCTGTAAGTAACTAAAGTCAATATCAAAATTAGCTATTTTCCCCACTGCTTAAACAATATAAAATAAAACGAACAACTGAATAAAAGCTGAATAAATGAATCTAAATGATCTGCGTGTGCCCACTGCCTTGATCCCTTTAAACAAGGCACTAGCTACTTGTAACCCTTTATCACAGGTTATGGCACGAACAGTGAGCAGGCCAACCAAAAACAGATTTTAATTCCTCATATTGTTGCACTTGAATGTTTTCAGATGTGTGAAGCTCTATAAATATTCAACACTGCATGAGAAAAGAAGCAAAAAGCAAAAGCCCTTATTTTTCTTCAGACCCTTGGTCTCAGTTCCAAGTTAGTACCCACTAGTCTAAACACTTTGAGATGCGTTACATCACCTAAAAGCCAAATAACTGTTGCACAACTATGATAAAATTACAAGGCTTCTGCCAGCGGCACATAAATTCATTTAGATACACATACAGTTGTATATGCATGTGATTTACAGAGAATGATTCCACTTAGCCAGACAGTCAGGAAATTTGAACATGACAGGAAATGTCAGCCATGATGGTCTTTTTCCATCCAAGAGAGGGGAAACACCTGGTAGGAGTGACGTCACTGTCAGTGGACACAAACAGCTGAACTGGAAAGTCCAGACTGGACACCAGTTCTGGCTGGGAGGGAGTAGTGCTACCTTACAATAACAACCATGTCATCACTGGCTATTATCTGAACCCTGTGTGACCTATGTCCCCATCAGACCAGGTGATATGGCCAACATTTTGTCAGGGAATCAGATGGGACATCTGGGATTACAGCAGTCATGTATGAGCTTGACCTGGTCTGGTTGTTACTGTATGTGCACAGTTCAGGCTGTGACCTTCCTCTCAACAATGAGAGCCAAGGCCAAACATCCCTCAACTATCTGTCCTTCCCAAATGGAACACAACGGTGGAATAGAGACATGTGTCTCCAGTGATAACCACACAAATAGATAGCAAAGACAGGGAAAGGCCCACACAACGACAACTATGTATCACATTGAACATGAGGACTGAGGATGCAGCTCCTCACAACTGACTTGCACATAAATGTCTATGCTTAATTCATATGACCATAAAAATGAGTAAAAAGCCATGTGTAGAAATCATGAGACCACTTGTGCAGTGGTGAAATTAGCCAGACAGCCCATCTTTCACCCTTTTTAGGATCTGTCCTGTTTATCTAAGAAGCTCAGCATCATCAACTAGAGGAGAGTGAGTACAGCTCAGCACAGTGGTACACATGCCAGCGCTCCACTACAAGGCACTCATTGTGCACTCCGCCTCTCTAAGTGGTGAGTGCTGTACAGTGCTGGTGCCCTGAAACAAAACGCCCACCTCCATTAGCAGTCAGCCTGCTTTTAGTAAGACAAAAATGTCTCTAGGCATTACTCACTGTTTCACCCGGGAGGAGAAGAATAACATGGTGTTTTATAGGAGGAAAGCTAACAATGGGAGGAAAGCCCTCACTACATAGTTAGGACAGCCTAGCAAGTTTCTCTTCAGGTTCCCAAGGCAGACAGCAATAGAAACAATGTTGTGAGGAACAACTACTCCAGAGACTGGAGCTCAATGATAAATCACATGGTATTCTGCCCGTTGAACAGGAGTGGCTGTCTATTTAATCCACTGCTACAATATAGATGCAAAAATAGCACCCTGTCAAACATTAGCTGCTGTTTATATTCAAAGTAGTGGCAAACACATTACATCATCACCCTGTAGAAAAGGCACACAGGATACAGCTTTCCACTGTCAGGAAGCATTTAAAGCTTTTCTGAAAGTGTCACCTGTCTAGTGGATGGCATATCTGCATGTCTCAGCAGATACAGGTATGTCTCAGTAGTGGTTGCGCTTCGGCACCAGAGCTGAGCTTCCCATCTGTTCTGAGTAACAGAAGAATGCAGTGTGTACGAGTGTGAAAAGACACTCTGCCAGCACAGGGCCAGGTTGGGAAGTCCCACCCTTTCCGAAGCCAGGTCTTTGTAGGAAGCTGCCTGTGTGATGGAGGACTAAGGTGATAATTAATGACTTCAAACTCCAGGTGGGACACGTCTCTGTGCCGTAGGTAAACCAGCTGTTCAGGAGGTGCACAAGGTGAGTATGTAGCCTGATGAGGCCTTTGTTTCTCAATGAAAAATGCAAACTGAGAGCACTTATTCTGGTCAAATGCACACAATTTGCAACAAAGTTATAAGAGACATCAAGCATGGTCAAATGTTGCATTAGCTTTGAGCCTTTGATAGTCTCACACAATATTCTCCTGAACCACTTACAGCAGCTACCACCGGTATAACTGATACTCCTTTTGCCTAGTTCACCTCATACCTTTCTGACTGTCCTCACTTTGTTCAGTTAAAAAATTTCCCTTCTCAGTCTCAAGGCTCTGTCTTAGTCCCCCTTCTGTTTTTAATCCATCTTCTCCCTCTTGGTTTCTTTTTTTGGAAATCTGCTATTCATTCCCACTGTTACACAGATGACTCACAGCTCTATACCTCCCCAAAACCTGACTCTGCCCTCTTGTCTCACCAGCCTACATGAAAAAAAAAAATCTTGGACTTCTTCCAGTTTCCTCAAACATAATACTGATAAGACAGAGGTTCTCTCTATAGGTTCTTTATCCACTCTTCAAGTCTGTCAGGCTTCACTCTCTACTGATGATTCCTCAGTTTCTCCCAGCCCACAAGTCAAGGACTTGGAGGTCACCTTTGACAGCACACTAGCTTTTGAATCCCATAGTGTCACCAGGTCATGCCACTTCTACTTTTCGTAGCATTGCTTGTCTCCCCCAAATCTATTACCACATGTAGCACTGCCATTCCCAGATCCCAGATCCCCTGCAGACAACACATCACTCCTTCCCTTCAACCACTCCATCAGCTTCCTGCTACATTCAGCTGTGTATCTGGAGGTAGAGTGGTTGTCCCCCATCCAGAAGGTCAGTTGTTTGATTCCCATGTGTAGATGTGTGAGATGGCAGCACAGATGGCTGCCTCTGTTCTGTACCAGAGACAAATTTCTTGTGTGTGTAACATATCTAGCCAATAAAAGTGATCATCATTATCAAAATTCTCCCCCTCCCATTTATAGGATAAATCTATAGCTACCTATAAAGCATGTGTTAGAGAGTAAAGTGGAAAAAAGACCAAAACACAGAGCCGGGGAAGGACAGAGAGATGGGGTGCACTGTCGTGAAAGAATGAGACAGAGGGAGAGAGAGAGTGATTGTGAGGTGGTCACTGACACATTTAGTGGATCAGAGACACAAAAGGCGCTGCCTACCAGGCCTCCAGTGGAGCATGAAGCCACCAGGGAAGTGTAACAGGAGAGTCCTGGAGCCTCCATACGGGCTGCTCACAAACCAATCTGCAAAGAGCCTCAAAGGCAGTGGGCTGACAAAGGCCACAGGTTGCTCAGACCTGTCCTGCTGCCAGGTACCAGGACACAAACAAAAGAGCCTTATGAGACCTTACCATTGAGTCAGCAGTTTGTATGTCAATAGAAATCCTAGCTAATGAGAGAATGAGAAGTAAAGAGAGAGGCTGGGATATGAAGTCAGACAAAATGTTTGCACATTGTACTAGTAAGGGGCAATACATTTAGAAGCAGCTGTAAATCTTTTAATTATGTCAAGTAGAGTTAACAAAGTAAGTGATACTATTTAATAATGCCAAACAAACACCTCTGCTAAATCAAATATTAAATGCTCTGTTACACTGAATTTATTGGGAGTTTCAATGCATTTTGTAAATCTTTTGTGTGACTTCTGCTTTGTGATGCTTAAGACACATCCCCTAGCATCAAACTGAATTATTTCCGAACACATGTACACTGTCCAATGAACAACTACATACAACTGTAATGTGCATTGTAAAGAGCCACTCTAGTAAATGTTGTCTCAGCAGATAAACTTTAACCCTGAGAAGCCCAAACTGAGCTTGTGACAAACATACCTAGGTCTGTTAGGTCACAACAAGAGATAATAATTGGGTGAGAGTATGTGTTGCTAACTTTATGTTAAACATATGTTTTCATGTTGATCAGGTAAAAAACAAAGGATACAAACAGGTATTTTTAGTAAGACCAAAGGAAACAGTATAGCCTAAACAACAGAATCTCCCATTAGTTATGAGAAAGACTTGCTTTATGTCATCAGCAGGCAACTAATGACTTTGTCCTACAGGATGTACACAACACTGACAGGATATTGTTCCTGTGCAGCCCTGACAGACCTCACAGAGTCTACAGTTGGATGTACGGCACACAACACACTAACTAACATAGCCACTCACATATCTGATTAGGCTTCTGCATAAAGGAAAACCCAACAATAAGAAACAAGTGAATGGGGGGTCCTTCAACCAATCAGAGCAGTGATGTGCAGAGACAGCACAGACAAAGGAGACAAACAAAAGCTGCTGATACCTCTGCAGGGCAAATATAGACTGGATGCATACCAAAACAAGTGGGAGGATGATAAAGGAACAAGACTTATCAGAGAGGATACAAACTTTTGTACTTCACTGACCCCAGAAACAATAAACGGCATGTACATCAAATCTTGTTTTCATTCTTTTTTTGTGGGTACAAGCCCACTATTGTTGATGATGGCACACAGTGGAAATACAGTATGTCTTCACCCTGATCTAACTATGAAATAAAACCATTTGAAATACACACAAAGCACTGTGGTTCCTTTTCCCTCGCTTTGGCTATGGAGCAAGAAGTCAAAATATCAGCCATCTGTGAGGCGAGGCATTTAAAACATCCATCATGTGAATGTGCACAGAAATCAGTGAAGGCTTCCAAGGGGCCAGATTTACAGCCAGTAGAGAAGAGAAAGAAAAAAGTTTTAAATTAAACCACAAGACCAAATGGCAGCAAAAAGTCACAGTAAAAAAAGATAATGAAAGAAATTCACTGTGTATTTTAAGCTCATACCTTAATGCTCAGGTAGCTGTCGCAACTCTGGCACTTTGCGCTGGAGCGCATTTTGCCCACAGACAGCATTTCAACAGCCCCAGGAAATCCCAAACTTCAATAAATAAATAAGTGTCATCAATTCTAGGCACTAGAACCCGATATATAATCCACTCCGTCAGTGCTGGAAGTCATTGCTGTGATATCAACAAGTCTAGTGCAGTTCCTCTCCTCTCTCTCTCTGCCTGCTGTGGTGTCGGCAGCTGGAGCAGACTAAACTCCTGTCAGACCGTGAGAGAGCCAGTGCACTGGCTTCCCCTGTCACTCACCCTCTCTCCCTCACTCCAACATAACCTCCCCCGCCCTGCTTTTGCTCTGCCGCTGGAGCCTCTTCCCGCTGTATAACTGCATACTGCTGCAACTTCAGTTCCAGCATTCAGAAAAAAAAAAGAAAACCACACTACCTGACCTGCACACCCCCAACACTCCACCCAGCAGGGGCTGGGCTCTGACTAACTCCTCTCTGCTCCCTCTGACCCCTTGCACCTCTACCTCCACTAGCAGCTCCCCTCCACCCCCACAGTGGTCCCCCTTTGTCCTGACACTACGAATGGACTAGGGTTTCAGCTTATTCTGCTGCTTTTCAAAAGGAAAGAGAAAGGAAAACATCAGCATAGGATTGGTGGCTGAGGTCACTCAGTACAATGGCATTGCCTTTAATATTTTTAGGGGATTACCCAGTCCTTTACTGGTTCATACAAACCACTGACATATGTGGGGCATCCTTGTGTTACAGCAAACAAGTACAACATTTCTAAAACAAATTAAGTCTAAAAATGGTTCTTCTTTTTAATAAGAGGATGTTTTAATATAAAACCAGTTCATTTACAGGAGAGTGTGTTTTTACTGGTGGAATTCAGCAAAGTGACAGTTTGTTAGTGGTAAACAGTAACTCCTTCCCATCTCTTCCTAAACACAGGAAGTTCGTGTTTGGGAAAAACATTTTCTGTAAGAATGCATGCCTTGTGTTAAAATGTGAGGATTATATTAAGGCAGCCTGCGCAAACAGAGAAGACACTGAAGATGGGTGAATAAAAAAAAGAACATTTGTTTAGGGATTGCAATGACCTGACAAGAAGAAACACTGTCACTAGCTGCAGTCACAAAGCACATGTGGGCTCACACAAACACACTGTAAGTTACTATCGTGTTGTCAGGTGCATGCAGAGAAATGCACACTTTGCACACTTTGTTGTAATTCACTTCTGAAATACACAAAAAGAAGCAGAGACATCAGTTTAAAAAGACAGTGACAATAAATCACTAACTGCACATATTGTTATATTTATAGTGGATCTACATTTAGTCTTATGTATACATCTCCTGTATAATCTGTTATATATACAGACACACACACATACTTCACATATGCAGTATGCAAATATAAACTCTTCTGTCTCTGACATGGCTGACCCTATAATTTGTGCTGCTCTGGCCTTTCCCACTGGGCTGGTCTCATGGTCTGTGAGGGCGGATTCTCTTCTATGTCCCTGACATTATCCCCTTTTTCTCCTTTTCCTTCTTTTTAATTCTTACTTATGTAACTGGCCTGAAATTACTGCACATGAGCATCAAAATGGGTCAAGGTGAACCAAAGATCGCCACATGCCCAAGATGCAGGCGAGTCGGCCAACTGAGCAAGCAGGGCCGAGCTGAGGCACAAGCAAGCGAGGCTGCAGCCTCGTCAGTCATGGCCATGAAGAAAGCAGCTGTGTGTTTAAGATTTGATGTTAATGTTTTTGGGGGCATTTTATACATTTATTCCCAAGTTGACAGCAGGGAGATAACAGGAAATGAGGGGGAATGACAAGCAACAGAGGTTCCCAGTAGCTCTTATACTGGGAGCGTTGTATTAACCCCTCAGACACCAGGGCAGCCAGACTTTCAACTAAATGAATCTGTGCTCCAAAATCTTAGTCTTACATTTTATAATCAGTGTGCATGCATGTTTTAGATTATCAGTCAATACCTAGATTTTTTAAATGTTTTTTTAAAAGAGGCTCTTATGTAAGGTGTGCACTCAATTATTGCTGAAAAGGTGGTTTATCAGGGTTGACTGACACAATGGAATTGTTATATGGTTTAATTTCATTCAAGTGTACATACACTGAAGTAGTCAGCAACTCCAGTATTCAGATGGTTACATTGAAACTATATACTTTTATGTATGTATACCTGTGTATCTGTTGATAATACTGTCATCTAAATGTAAATTAAGGTAACATTTGGGGTAAATCTTGAGAGCAGATCTGAATTATGATACTGTATGAATACATATAGATTCTATGTATATTGGTACCACTTTACATAGGATGTCTGTGTTATGCTTTATTCTTAACAATGCACATGACTCAAGTTCCTCGTCCAAGTGATTGGGAGCTGCTGCATTGTTTGATTCACACAGTTAAGTGAAGTTTTTAAAATTTCTTTTAATTATTTTCCCAGTAGCCACCACATAACTGTTTACTCTGACTACTTGGAGTTATACAGTGGGTAGAGAGAAAACACTGCTGATTTAATAATTTACTGTACATCATCTTGCACACGGCTTTTAGTTCCATGATTTAACATGTAGGGTTTACTTGTGGTCTGTAATGTGTAAGACAATGTTTTCATACTGCATATTCTCTTATATTCAGAGGTATAAAAACTCAGATTGCCTCACTCAAAGGATTTTTGGTTATATGATAAACACCAACTCCTTCCATCTAGGTGTTACCTTTATATAGTTTATGTCCCATTTGAGAATGCTGTTCCACTGTGGCCACTAGAGGAGTGTCTGTGTGTGTTCGAGGTTAGGAACGTGCCCTGCTACACTAAGATAAACAGTGAACAATGGGGTTAGAGCTATTTAAACTGAATTATTCCACAGTGGTGAAATGTTGCCCTATATCTACAGTCTGTTCTGATTCTAACCACGACAGTGCTGAAGTTCTAGACAGCAGAACAACACATTTATTCTAATATGGTTTTACCACTACAAGAATGAAACTTTTCCTGTTGTTTTTCCATGAGGAACCAAAAGGTTTAAAATAGACACATTTATGCAGGGTTCTTCTGGTAAACAATATTTATGTGATCTGAAAAGACAGATAGGACAGTCCCAGGGGTGCTACGTGATCTGATAAAACCATCAGGGGAACAAATTAGTCAGATGACATGAGCGCTGCAGTTTAATCATTTTTCATCATCATATCTTACTGTTACTCCACAGATAAAACTATAAGACAGACTGAAGAGGGGGTTTGAGAAAACAGTTGTTGTTTGGACAACGATTGGACGATTTCAGTCAGTTTTGAGCAGACACACACATACAAAGTCATGACTTACTACATTTATGAGGACACAGCGACATAATGCGTTACCTGGCTACGTACCCTAACTACATCCTAACCCTAAAAGCAAGTCTTAACCCTAAAAGCAAGTCTTAACCCTCAAAATGCTCTTTTAAATTGTGAGGACCAACTAAAATACCCTCACAGTGTAATAATAAACATGTACACACACACACACACACACCACACCAAACTGTGGAATGTGACACCTTGGTCCAATCTTACTTCGTACCCACCTCACAGTGCCACACAGGCCACCCAAAAACACTTGTGAAATACTTATGAAAACTTGAAACTTCACCCCGTTTGTTACTCTTAAACTCTCACATGATATTTTATCCTGGGGCAGTCGTGGTAATATCCTGTCAGGGATCACAGCGTTGTAGAGTCATCTAAATCTACACACATCTTCACCGCAGAAATCTATCTGATAAAGCCAGGATATCCATTCCAACTAGGGCTGCGTCTAGCAATTATTTTCATTATTATTGTTGAGTACGTTAGCAAAAACATTTAAAAAATGCCAAAGTGACATCTTCACATATTTCATTAAATCTAAAAATATTATATTTACTATAATGTAATGCACAACAAAGAAAGGCAGTGAATTCTCACATTTCATAACCAGAAACATCACATTTGGCATTTTTACTTGTAAAATATTGATCATTCTTTTGATCAGCAGTTAAATTAATTAAATGATTGGAGACTGCTGGCCTAATACCAATACTCCATTTTAGTGTTGAGTCCTTTAACCCAACTCTCAGTGGATAAGGTGAAAAAAACCCACAGAAAACAATAAAAATAAATAGGAAAAAATAAAGTACTCAAAGTTACTGTTTAACCCAGAGCTCACACAGAAGAAGTGTGTACAAAAACAACTCAAAATAAAAGGAATTGCATTAAAAATGCAAGAAATGATATACTTACAGGTCAGTTTTGGACTGTATGCTGGAGAAGCTGAGTCCATATAGAGGACAGAGTGAAGGAGTCATCACTCTCCTTCTGTCCGCCTCACATAGGCTTGAGAACTAACATCACATCCCCAGCCAGGCTCACATAGCCTGAGCTACTGCCCCCTCTGCCCTGGTCCCATCACTTGGGTCTCTGACTGGTGCTGCTGCACATTTCAGACCCCAGGATTAAGACCAATTACCTCACTACACAAACGCACACAGCTACACATACACTCACATAGTGTAGCGCCCAAACCCCCAGCCTCCCACTGCCATGTAAGACCACGCTTCGACTGAAGCCCAAATCTGTATGGAGACATCTTCAAGTATCTGGTGTAGCTGTTCTCTTTATCGGATGTCTTTGTTAGGAATGAGATTTACCCCCACCTCCGTGGCAGCGTGGTGCAGCTGTTCCATTGGCAGCCCAACCACACTCGTGCTTTATGGAGGGGAATACACAAGAAGTGTATTCCACCTGTCATAGCCCCCTAATGTCCCATAGCCCCCCGCTGTGTGGATGTCTCACTCCAAAACAAAAGCTGGTGTTTTTTCTGGGCTCGCGAGCACAGGTGGCTGGAGGAGGCAAGGTCGAGTTACAGCAGCAGCTTCCGCAGGAGTCAAGGAGAGGACACACACAGTCTGACCAAGTACTGTGAACAGTACAATGCAGTATATAAAAGGTATAGGTGTAGTAGTAATGTTTTAATACTGTAAGTAATCTCTTTTATGGAAGCATAGTATTAAAACATGTAGAATCATTTTCCTCTCTTCTATGTCTAATCTAATCTAATCTAAGATGTGCCGTAGGGCAGGATAACAGGTACGTATACTAAGCAGGTCTTTCCTATATTAAACACACTGATTTTAAACTTTAATGTTCTTGCACAGACTTGCCTGAGTAAC